CCCCAGCACTTGCTCTTCTCCACCCCCAATGTTCTCAGCCTGTCTCCAGCCAGGAGCTGCTCCAGCCCCTGAGCATCCTCGTGGCCTCCTCTGGACTCGCTCCAACAGCTCCGTGTCCGTACACTGAGGACACACACTGTTAGTAAGTACGTGCACACCTGCCTGGCGCCGTGTCCTCAGGTGACACAGGCAGCTGGTGCCTGCGCAGCAGCAGCCACGGCATGTTTTTAAAACCACTTCTGGCAGAATTCTCCCAGGAACCTTGTCAGTTCTCGGTGGTTCCAGGGAGGTGAGAAGAGTCAGGCATGCACTGAGGATCAACAGCAGGTTACCTCGCTGCGGCGCTCCTGCCTGCTTCCCCTCCAGGAGGAACGTGCTGTTGTAGCAGCTAAGGAAGGTGAAGTGTTATTTCACAGCGAACTGAGACATGGCACCCACAGGGGGGACGCTTGGCAGCTGCGTTCCTTTTCCTTTCATCTTCCTTGTTTTTCTGAGCTCCTTCTGCAACACCATCAGCAGATGTTTAAAAACCCCAAATGTTTAGAGAGCACATAGAATAAGGGCGTTGATACAGTCTTCCAGTGCCTAAAGGGGCTGCAGGAAACCTGGAGAGGGGCTTTGGACAAGGGATGGAGGGACAGGACAAGAGGAATGGCTTGAACCTGCCAGAGGGGAGATTGAGATGAGCTCTGAGGCAGAAGCTCTTCCCTGTGAGGGTGCTGAGGCGCTGGCACAGGGTGCCCAGAGGAGCTGTGGCTGCCCCATCCCTGGCAGTGTTCAAGGCCAGGTTGGACACAGGGGCTTGGAGCAACCTGCTCTAGTGGGAGGTGTCCCTGCCCGGGGCAGGGGTTGGAGCTGGAGGAGCTTTGAGGTCCCTTCCAACCTAAACCATTTTGATTCTATTTGTACTGAAGGTCACTCTGCAGAAGAGATGGCGATTGCCTGAAAGCTCCCAACGACTTGTCTTCAATGTAGTCTCTGCTGATGGCCAAAAAGGAATAAGCAGAAGAAAGCCTGGATTTCCAGGTGATGTTTTCACTGTAAGTCAGAGGCTCCACGAGTCCAGTGAGGTCACTGATTCAGGAGGAACTGCTTTGTTTGGTGGATTTCTCCTTGCCTTCCTTGAAAAGGATTGAAATAAGACTTCCCCCTGCTGGTAATTACCTGAGTCATAGCTGGACTCAGGGCTGGGACTCTGCAGCCAACAGAAAGCAGAAGAAAGGAAGCTGGAATCTCTTTGTAACTTCTCAGTCTGACCTTTGTGTTCTGCTCTTGCAGAGCTTTGTCTGAGACACTTAATACATTAATCTCTGACTCAACTGATTTCCCTTCCTCTTCTACTCAGAGAAAGCCCAGTGACATCTGCCAAGGAAGGGGCAAACCACGAGCGTTCCCTTTAATAGCTCCCAGGCAAGTGAGCCCCAACTCAACACACGAGGAGTGCTCAAAGCACCCACCACCTCCACCCTGGCTGCGAAGGGCAACGTTTGACCCTGTACAAAACCTGTTCAGTTTGGAGAGGGTGTCATTAGCACCCAAACCTCCTGCTCAGAGCTGCAGGAATAGACAGGTCGAGCTCCCAGCACTACAAGGAGCGACGTAAACCTTGATTTAACTCCCTTTGCACCCTTCTAATAAACTGGAGCTTGTCTGAAAAGAGCAGAGACCCAAAGTAAGTGACAGCAGAAGCGCTGAAGCCCCGACTGTTGGGAGAGAACCTGGGCACTGTGCTTGAATCCCCTGCAAGCTCTAAGCTGCTGGTAGTGCACAAACTCCCTCCCATAGGACTCTTCCTCCTTTGAGTAAGTGAAGTCAAACGTGGCAGCGGGAGTCGAGGATCCCTTTGCACAACCATAGCCTGGAGGACGGGCAGCATCTCCATGAACTAGAGGAAGTTCTGCCAACTCTTTGTATGTTACTCGTCTCTTACTCGAGGACAGAGAGCCTTCCCTGACACTTGCCCCAAGTTCAAGCACTGCCCCTGAAGACCCTTGTGCTGTTCATGAAAGCCAAAAAGACATGAAACGTCATTATCCCTCTGCAAAAGGTGCCTGGAAGAGGAGCTTCCGTTTCTAACAGGAAGAAGTTGCAGAGAGAATGAAGCTTTTACTGCATCCTCACCCCGTTCCCTTGGGGTTTACCTGTCTTCAGTGCAAGAGGCCGCTGAGCTCAGGCAGGAGCATGTGCCAGAAGCCAGCAGGCGCAGGGTAACCAGCCTGGCACTGGGGAGAGGCACTGCAGCAGGCTCCCGGCACCTCCGAGCTGGGGCCCTGCTTCGTGGCACCACTTCAGTGCGGCCAAGTAAAGCCCGTGCTGATGTGCCAAGAGGTTCCTGCCTTGCTCTCGGAGCCTCCCCCGGGCCCTGCAGTACGTGAGGCGTGCAGGGAAGGCACCGGCTCCGGGAGGCTACACGAGCTGGCTTTGTTTGCAGAACTCCTTATGGACCAAGAGTCAGAGGTGCAGCAAGAACCGAGTGGGAGCAATACCAGGAATAAGCTTCAGAGCTGAAGTGGGTCAAGGGAGCCTGCAGCAATCAGGAGAGAGAAAATCTCCTTCCTTTTCTTTCTTCTTGGCAGACGGAGCTGTAAATCTGTGCTCTGAATACAGACACCGTGAAGATATTGGTAAGGACAGATCTCAGCTTGGAAAACACACCCAAGGGAGCTTCTTTTTCTGCTGTCGAGGCTGCTGCAGCGCGGGCAAGGGCACAGACCTGACCTGTGAGCAGGAGCTCCCCAGAAATGGTGGCTTCTTTTCAATGGTTAAGAAAAGAATTCACAGACTCTTTGGTCTGGGGTTGGTTTGGGAGGTTTTTGTTGAAGACGTGGTTTCTCCTCCAGCTACACCTACAGGCAGGGTGAGAGGGGGAGGAGCAGCCCCCGTACTCTGTATGTGCACAGCGCCAGGGGAGCCGGGTCTGTCCCTGCAGGGCCAGAGGAGCTGGGTCCATCCCTGTGTTACTGATAGGGAAGGGAAAAGAAGTCTGTAAAAGTAACAGAACTGAGAGCTCACCTGAAGCTTTCGGTTGCTGGGTGTGAGAACTGCCTAAAGTTAAAGTAGTGCCAGGAGACAGAGGAGCACAAGTCCCGGGAACACAGAGAAAAGACAGGATTGAACCACACACACGAGAACGAATCCTTCTCTGCCACGGTGTTTGTGAACAAGTCGTGCAGTTTCTCTGCTTCCTTTTCCGAAATGGGAATAGGATTCGTTGCCTTTGAGATCCTGGGAAGCAGAATGGTCTCCAGGGATCTCTGAAAGGTACCAGACAGCAGCACATTTGACAGGAGTCAAGCTCTTACTTCAGACTTCTCTACTAAGAACCTATTTGTCTGCTGCTGATTGCTTGACCTTTAAGACAACGTCAGTCAGCAAAGAGGTGAAGGTGACAGAGAAAATCCCTTCCATAACCTTGGGTTTAATTCTGCAAGAAACATGTAGTTTGAGTAGAACTATAGAGCAGTGAAACAGGTTAAATGAAAACCAAATCTGAGGCCATAAGAGCTGTAAGAAGCACTGGAGGGGTGGAGGGAGAAGGAGATGGAGAGACAAAGACTTAAAACAGCAAAGAGATCAAGATCCCATCTGGAAGGGCAAGAGGCCAAAGCCACCGAGCAGATGGAGCCCAAGTGGCAGCTGTGAGGAACGTGCTTTCGTGTGGCAAGTGTGCTCTGGGGAGGACTCTGCTCTCCAGCTCCAGGGGCAGCGCGGGGACAACAGCTCCTCCCCACACACCGCTGGGAAGCTCATCGTGATGGTGCTTCATTAACAAGGGCCCTCTCCAGGTCTAGAAGCTGTTGTCACACCCCCTGGGCATGGGTTTAGCAGCAGAGGGTCCTGCCCCTGCAGCACAGGGGGGCCCAATGGTTCAACTGGTTTCCTGTAAACTTTTACATAGGCCAAGAGCTGCTTCTGGTCTAGAAGGGCTCAGGTGAAGGATTTAATGCATCTCAGTGGTTACACTTATCATCTTCATGGAAGAACATCCAGGGGCTGCTCCACCAGCTCCGGAACAGAAACATCACACAATCAATCAGAAGAGGGGGTTGTCTTCAACATAGGCCTTTAATCCAGGCACCTTTCCAAGCCTTTAATCCAGGCATCTTTCCAGACCACACCAAAAACTAACAGGGATCTAAGAGCAGCCCTTTCCTTGTGCTGTTTGTCCCCAGGATCAGCCATAATTCCCGAAATCAAGGTTCTGCAGAAGTGGCCATTGTCTCTTTTTCTTTAATAAAGATCTGGAGGTTGGGTTTTTTCCTGTTAAGGCAAGAATTGCATCCTGCTGCTGGGATCTCGGGACGCAGCTTTGATTACAGAAACAGAACAAAGGCAGCTCAATTACAATTTAAACTAAACTATTACACCTCTTAAGACGATTCTGAATTAAAAACTCAACCAAACAAAAGCCAGAGCCAATCTCCTCCTGGTTCCCGTCCTGAGCCCGGGGTCAGAACTGATTTTGAGGTACAAGACAATAAATTAAAAGTCCATCCCAAGGGCAGAGATCGCCCCTCTCCTCAGTGCGATGTCTTCTTCACTCCCTTCCCGAATTTGGCATCGAGTCCAAGGCCTGCAGAGAAGAGAGAAAATAACCCATCCATCAGAGAATGGTTTGGGTTAGAAAGATCATCCAGTTCCAACCCTTGTCATGGGCAGGGATGCCTCACACTAGACCATGTCACCCAAGGCTCTGTCCAACCTGGCCTTGAACACTGCCAGGGATGGGGCAGCCACAGCTTCCCTGGACCCCCTGTGCCAGCGCCTCAGCACCCTCCCAGGGAAGAGCTTCTGCCTTGTATCCAACCTGAACTTCACCTGTTTCCGTTTGAACCCATCACCCCTTGTCCCATCACTCCAGTCCCTGATGAAGGTCCCTCTCCAGCATCCCTGTAGCCCCCCATGGACAAAGCAAACGGCTTCAAACCAGGATAATGCAGGGAGTGATGTGAAAACTCAGCTTCATTGCCCCAATCTACTAATAGTGGCTCAGAGGCAGCGACTTACCTGGGGTAAGGGCAAAACCTAAGCCTAAGATCTGCTGCAAGTCATGTTCCTCTCCTCCTGCCCTGGGAGGCTACTAACACCCTCCTCCACCAACAGGCTTCTCATACAACTAGACCTGCTTCTGAGCAGCATCTTTTGTTGGCTCTCCCCTCATCACACCTCATGTGTGTCAGTGCAGGAAGGACAGATCTCAGGGGTCTGGCTCTTCAGACTCACCCAGGAACACAAGGACCGTCCCCACCCACTGCATGGAGCTGATGGGGTTGGCAAAGAGGATGACGGACGCCAAGATGGTGAAGAACTTGCGGGTTGTGGTGATGATGGAACACGTCAGGGGGCCGAAGTACACCACGGTCATGAAAATAAAGCTCTGTAAAAGGCAGAGAGATGCCTGTTGTCGATGGGAGCAGAAAAGGCACATCACAGATGGTGAGAACCACTGAGCCAGAGCTGAGGCTTATTTCAAATCCCGAGTATTTGTGTACAAACTTAAACTGGTTTTACACTGACGGGAGCCAGGACAGAGCGTGAGCACCACCCGCAGCAGCCGAATGTGAGGCAGCCTTTCCTGGCCATCTCCCAGCTGGGCAAACACATAGAATCCCAGCCTGGTTTGGGTTTGAAAGGACCTTAAAGCTCCTCCAGCTCCAACCCCTGCCACGGGCAGGGCCACCTTCCACTAGAGCAGGTTGCTCCAAGCCCCTGTGTCCAACCTTGCCTTGTACACAGCCAGTGCTGGGGCA